GGAGTCGATAACTTTAAAGCAGCGAGTTTATGTGTCTTCCTCTCTGGAGGCTGCTTCCTTTACAGTATCCTGTTGCTAAACACGAGGCTGCATCTGAGAGGCACACTGGACACTCTGGCCCGCTGCCAGCATCCCGTTTGAGAAAAGTATGCATATCATTGTAACAGTGTAAGGCTATTGGCTGCATGCAGTCCACTGATCTGCTTGGCCTTTCAGGGTGTTGAGTGTGCCAGAGGTGAATCTTGTGAATGTATTTGCACTTACGAGAGCTGTGAACAGTTTCACTCATGCTTTTGCATGTGCTGAACTGCTTGTCCTGAAGGGAATATTTTTGCAACAAACAGGTTTGTGTCATCATCCGCCAATCTCAAACTTGCATCCAAGGAATTTGTCTTTTTCAGTGGCTGCTGCAAGCTTTGGATGCCACAGTTCTGATGTAAAACATGTTGTGTCCATGTTTTATCAAATATATTACAGTCCTGTATAGGAATTCTCCTCATTCTATCACAGTATACTGAGGTTTTTAATGTATTGTCGCCTACAGTAGTGTTTTTTGTCAGGCCTGATCCTCAAGGCACACCGCCTTGCCCAGGTTTCTGATGTTTCTGTCACAACAAACCTGATTCAGATAATTGCAGTTCAGCAAAAAAACCTGTTGACCAGCCCTCAACTGATATAAGGTGAGCTGAGGAGGTCAAACATCTATAAACGTGCATGGTAACGTACCTTGAGCCCCAGGGTTGAAAAACATGCACAAAAGACATTCACATTTGCTGCTTTTCACTGTCAATCAGCTAGCTGAAGGAATGATCCTAGGCTTTCACAAGAAGTGAAGTCCGTCCCCCTGTTGGTGAGCTATGAGATGCATGTCTGTTAACGCAACTTTGTGTAACTTTTAGCCACTAGCGGCATTAGATTTAGCTCAACATAGACCAACTGGAAGCACTGCACTGTTGCAAAATGAACCAGCCTCCCTAGGTGGTCAACAGAGGTCCTGCATGGGGGTCGTGAATGGTTGATTAGACTTTTTATTTTATATTCCCACCTGCAATTCTTTCCACTAATTGAAATGTCTTCAAATAAATATTAACATAAAATCAACAGACTGTAGTAAACAGATAAATGGAGGCAGAAGATGTCTGTCAGTCATCAATGCACACGTTCAGCGACACACAGGAGCTCTTTCAAGCTGGGCACCGTTTCATTCACAACACCTGTCCCATCAACCAGGAATCAGAATCAGAAATACTTTAATAATCCCAGGGAGAAATTACTTCCATTACATGAATCCATATTAATAGAGTGACAATAGGACCAGTTTTATATAACACAATTTCATATAATATATGTAATTAGGGCGTCCCTGCTCCATCTCGCCATCAGTTTCTGGGTCCTAATAAAGTTATTTGTATCATTTAGGGCTGAAACTATCGGATTCATCGTGATTAATCATAATTGTCAACTAATTTAATAATCAATGAATCGTTAATTGGAGTATACTGACTTGAAAACATTGCTTTAGCTGACAGAGCAACCTACTTAGAGCAGAAACTGTAACAACATTGTAAAAACAAATATATATACCGTACATAAATATTTTGCATCAATCAAAATTTTTAATCTGTCAATATGCGCTATCCAGGAAAGGTTTTCGTTTCATGTGGTTTATTTAGTAAAATATTCTTCTTTAAGGAACCTTTTGCTTTCCGATTATTAATCGATAAATAATCCAAAGAATAATCAATTAGCAAAATAGTCGTTATTTGCAGCCCTAGTATCATTAGTTATAAACTGTGTTATTTTGTTAAATTTGTAATTTTACTGGATTGCTTGAAGGATGAAAAACGTATTCATTTATTCCTTATTCTGTTAAAAACAACTAAGACATCAGTGCACTTCTAATCTGTGCAGCGTGATCCTCTGAGCTGCAGAGAAAGGGAGGACTCCTTCCACATCAGACTGAGTTGTAGCCATCTGAAGGTATTCATGTGTCAGCCCATTCTGCCCCAGCTTGACCTGCAGTAACTCTGACAACGTCCCACCCACTTCCAAATGAGATCTTGTTTTTCTGAAAGCCTCGACTACATGATGTGCTCTTGGATAAGTAGAGTGAGCTGAAAGCTTGCGTAATGTTTTGCTACCTTTAGGTTTATGTTTGAGTGGGCGGAAAGTTAAAGGAGGAGCAAAGAGACTCCAGTCACAAGACTGCTTACAGCTAACAGCAAGTTTACACGGCTTAACCAAGGACCCATAAATACATACATAGAACAGGACTGCACTGAGGATTAATTGCAATAATTATCATCACATGAGACACGCTGCAGTCTATGGACAAAGAATGTGGTGTGATAAGGCTGCCAGACCTGAAATAATAAACATAAAACGTGTTTAAAAGGCTTTAAATGTAATCATACATCAGATATAAACAATCTATATAGTTGTCAGGAGACCCTTTACTTACAGTGGATCACAGTAGCTATTTGATATGATAGAAATACTGCATGAGCATGTGATCTGTGCAGTGACACTGCTGAGGAATCTCACAGTTAGCAGATGGTTTAGTTTGCGTGATCTTTTCTGCACATTTAGATTTCTTGGATATCTTTCATTATCACAGCCATGACACATCGTCACCATCCTCGTCAGAACAAGAGCTCCATGGGGCTGCAAAAACATGCAGGTTTGCGTCACTGCACATCACAGAAGGGCTTATCTGCACCTGCTTGTTTACAAATCCTCCCAATCGCTCAATGGGATTCACATACTTGCATATCAGGGACTACAGATGTTGCACACATCTGTCTGACAACTTTAATGCAGCATATATTGAAGCAGAATAAAAGCAATTCTGATTGCATGATATTCTTGATTTAAGTCAAGATTTTATAACATGCAAAACAACACCTGCAGGTGCATTCAAATGAGCATGTTATTTCCGTAACTAAATTAACAGATTCAGGCTAATTAGAGCCTCTGATGAATTGTAATTTTATTTAGGTCAGATGTGATTTTTAGGACTTGCAGCTAATAAAAACAGAAAAGCTTGGGCCAATATCAGATATCTGAATCCGATGAGTAAGCACTTCTGTAATCAATCATAACTGATTAACTAAAACATTAAAAAAAATCAAATTTACCATTGGGCAAAACTAGGCAGTTGCCTAGGACCCCAAGTTCCTGGGGCCCCCATAAAACTCTGTTTACACGTATGGTTAATACAGCTATTCCTTATTTGGGCACATTGATTATGTTTTTGATAAAAATCCTTTTGCTAAAATACCATCAGAACGCTTATGTGCAGTCCATTTGCTGCACATGTTCAGAAAGGTCCAAACAGACAGTAGCAAGCCGTAAGAAAGCAAACTTTGGGAAGACCAGAGTTGCCAACTTAGCACTTTTGTCGCTATATTCAGCGACTTTTCAGACCTCGCTGGCTCTTTTATTTCCAAAAAGAGCCTAGCACCAAATCTAACGACTTTTTTCTGCAACTGGAGACTTTGGTGACAATGTATAAGGGCACCGAACTCTGCACTCCAGAGCAAGTAGATTGGTAACCCCGCCTCCTGCTCTGCTCTATCTTGTCTGCTGTCATGATTCATGCAGCTTTTATTTCATCCAAATGAAAAATGGAGAACAGAGAGGCAGATGATGGCTTGTCTACAGTGAAAAGAAGGACTGGGTTATTTACTTTTGCCGTTGCCTTTTTGGAAACAATAGAAGGAGCAATCAGCTAAGATAGAATGGGCTTACTGATTGGCAAAACGTATCTGTATAAAGGGTCTGTTTTATGTGTCGTCTTCTCAATTCAGAGGGCCCCATGCCTGTCTTTGCCTAGGGCCCCAAATTTCCTAAATCCGCCCCTGACTGTATCATGCTTAGGGGAATGGTGGCCTACTGGTTAGGGCATACAGCAGGGAATCTAGTGGTTCTGACTTCAAGCCCCATAGACTGCCATACTGGCCCCCCCAGTATGGCAAAAAACCCTTAACCCCACTGCTCCCGGGTGCCACACAATGGCAGCCCACCGCCCCCCAAGGGAATGGGGTAAATGCAGAGTTCATTTTGTTGCTCTGTACTTGTGAGAGTGTAATGACAGTAAAAAGCTGGGGAAAAAATCATAAGGAAATGAGAAAAAAATATATATTTTTTTGTCAGTCTATATCTGCTTTTTATTTAGACAAAAACAGAAAAAAACTAGTTAATTTACTGACCTGAATCTAACAAAAATCCTCCAAAGAAATTTTTAGTTTTTAAAGCGAAGATTCCATATATTAAAATCTGTGCTGGTTCCATGTCTTTGTAAGATTGCATCAAGTAGCGGATGTCAGTAACAAGCTGAGTGGATTGAGTCAGCCGTGGGTTTTTTTGTCGCGTGCTCATAGGCATGCATGAATCCACAGATAGATCTGTAGAGGGTTTATGCATAACAGAACTAGAACGGGATACCCGCCATTGCATTCTCTTTGCAAGGGGCGATGTTTCATTTTTTTTTTTATTGATGTGATCAGTAGAAGCCATGCTTGTGATTTGATACCAAAACACTCCGCGTCTGTCGACAAGTATTTCCTCTGCAGCCCATCTCGAGTAAAAAAAATCCCCACAGGACGTGTGTACGTGCCGACTGTGCCGCCACGCACGTATTCACCATTTCCTTACACACACACACACACGCACACACACACACACACACACACACACACATTCCGCCGTAATGAAGCTAAACAGAGCGCAATGGCTGCGTAGTGACGCTACCCCTGCTGTTAAATGTTATCATTACCTTACAAGAGATTTCACTAAGAAATATGAATTATATTTTCCATCAAGCAATCAAAATGTGATGTATTTATGCGCCAGACTCAAATAACTCATTTAAATATTAAAACTTAATCGAACTGGAACCGAGCCAAGATGTCCTTTTCTAGAAAGCACGTGACGCCTCTCGTCCGTTGCTAGTGGGACGGGGGAGGAGGTGGTGGAGGAGGAGCCACCAGGAGGTTATAAAAACACCCACGCCGTAGTTTTCCAGCCACCTTCCACGCACAAATTATCCGGCGAATATCCCATTTGACTGCCCTCAGCGGCCGTTGGAGCAGTGGGTCAAACACCGACGCTAAAACTGGAGCTATAACTTAAACAACGGGGTAAGTAAACCGCGCTCCATTTTTCTAAACATTTTTTATTTGTAGTTCCAAATGGCGAGTTAAATGTGCAGCTGGTCGACCGTTACAGTCTAATTTAACGGTTTAAACCTCGCGTGCGCTGCACAGTCAGTATCAGATATGTTAGTTTGACGGTTGAGGGCGTCCCGCTCGCTTAAAATGTCCTGGTGGAGAATTCTGGCACTTTTAAATATACAGCAAACCTGTGTTCTCGTTATGTGGTGTGAATTTACTCGGACAGGATTAGCATTTAGTTTAAATGTTGAGTTATAAAAATAAGTGGTTCTAGGTTGAAGCTTTTTGGTATTTTATTTTTTATGTGGGTGTGTTTGTTTCGTCCATCCAGGGCTCCCGTTTAGCAGCGCCATAGCAGCTTACCACCAAGCGCAGTGTCATCACTTGCTGCTCCCACTGAAACGACTCTCGTTTCGGAGGAGTGCAAATTGATACACCGCAAAAATCAAACCACTGCCGCCGCACATCCTCCAAGGAAATAAATCAACCGAATCAAAGCAAAAATGGTTCAAAACAAGATCACCGAAGTCACTGGATTCCATCGCTCTTTCAAGGTGAGTGTATCCAGAAGCCATGTTGGGGAGGGCTGCAGTTTGTAATCAGAGCAGGACTATCAGTGTTGAAAGGGGGATCATCCTAAAATGTATTGTGCCATGGTTAATGGCTGACTGCACATGTATGTGCAGGTTTGTTGAAAGTGCTTCAGCAAGAATAAAAAAAAAAGTTTTCAAATAAAGATTTAATACTAGTTAAATCATCTGTTTTCTTGTTAAGGATTTCTGATTGTGCTTCAAATTAGTTTTTGAAGTTGAGTTGATAATGCCATATCAGAATAGAACTGCCCAACTGCTGATCTTGACCGAGCTGTTAACTGAGACTTTGTACAATAACAACATTTATGACTTCCTCAGGGTCAAAATCCCTTTGAATTAGACGACTTCACCAAGAATGGATCCCATCACATTGATTCTTCATTTAAATTTGGTTCTGCCCCAAGACACGGTGAGTGTTTCAGGCAGCTTAAATAAAAGCTTTGATCCATTCCACCTCAAACTCTCTATAAGTTAAGTTATCCCTCGTTTTGTTTTCTAATGATGTCCTCATTTGTTAGACATGCCTTCAAGCCAGCCTATTGACATTCCCGATGCCAAGAAGAGAAACAAGAAGAAAAAGCGTTGCAGGGCAACTGACAGTTTCTCTGGACGATTTGAAGGTAAAAAAAAAAAAAAAATCTTAACTGTTAATGTTTCATGCTGCTTTTCCTAAAACACGTGACAAACATTGTTTGGATTGTTGATGCAGAATAAATATTGGCATTTATATCATTGTTTGACAAGTTTTTAAATTTTTTTTAAAGACAGCCATGTCAGTTTAAGTTGAGCTGAGGCTAATACCCCTTATTGATGTCCAACCTGTTGTTTGTTTATGCGTTTTTGGAGGGGAGGGGGTTGTACATGTTGCATTTGTTTGGACATTTAATTGTGAGAAATAATGGTGTCGTGGGATTTTTTTTTTTAGGTGGGAAATGTTTAGGTTGATAAATATCTGTTGTTGGACATAACTGATGATTTTAACAACCTGCCACTATTCCTCAGATGTCTACAGACTCCAGGAAGAAGTACTAGGAGAGGGTGCCTATGCCAGAGTGCAAGCTTGCATCAGCCTTATCACCAACAAAGAATATGCTGTCAAGGTAAGGCACTGCTACACGGACTAGACATTTTTTTTATAAAAACATCAAACAGCGATGATGGTGTTGCAGCATGGGTTTTCTCTTCTGTCTGCAATCAGGATTAACTTTTCCATTTCCAAAAAAAAGATTTTTGGAGACTCACTGCTGCATGAAATGTCAAGAAAGCTCTTTTGGCTGATTAGATTGGTATCCGTAGCTGTTTGTAGAGTTAAAAAAGACAACAACAAAACCCTCTCAAGTACTATTTATGTCCCTTCTGCTTGAGGTGGGGGGCCTCTGAATGTTTCCAGAGCTCCTCTGTGCTACCTCTGCACTGTTTTCAGTTAGCACCACTGTTATCGGACACTTCCTCTCTCGATTCTAGTTTGAGCCTATCGGAGAGCTTTGTGGAATATATCCACCCCTTTTTATTTTACCCCTTTTGCCTACAGAGGACGCTCATAGTGAGAACATAATGTACTGTGTACTGTTCCAAAACAAAACCCAAAGAGGAAGGAGGGGGCGGTATGTGACCCGGTATTTTTACACTGTTTTTGTTCTCACTTTTTGTAGCTTTTACTACTTTTTTTTTTCTTAGGATTTTCTGAATAGAAAGTGAGCATCTGACTCAGTTTAACTTGCAGACAGGATGTTTATTCTTCAAGTTCAAACTTTCAAACTTTGCAATAGGACGGTTAAGGGGGGGTTAGTAGTTATGCAGGGAGAGAAGGCAGGAAAGTTGGTTACTGGAGGTCTTTGAAGAGACGGAGGGGGGGTTCAGACTGCTCCTGCCAGATGTCCCGTCTCTCCCCTCCCCCTCCAGACTCTGGGATGTTTTGGGTCGGCGTGCGCCTCCGTAATGGGAGTCTGTGCAGCGTGTCTGACTGCAGGCTTCTGAACAAAGGGCTTATAATAAAGTTATTTTGTTCCCAGGGTTGTAACTGGGTGATATTCCTAAACTACCTACACTCTTCTAGTAGCAGATGGATTGTTTATATTTTAAAGCTTTTGCAGGATTTTCTTTTTAAATGGAGTTTTGTTTTTAGGAGAGCATAGCCATGGTGTTTATGGCTCTGCTGACTCAGACAGAACCTGTGAACAGGCTCTGGTCTACTCATGAGCCTCTTGTCAGTGCAGTAATCCTTAACATACACTGCAACTCTGGGCCCCTCTGTGCTTCAATACCGTCAGTAATCCAGCTACCAGGAAGGGAGGCATGCACAGCCTCCGAATGGGACAATAACCAGCCAGGGCTGGAAATTTCAGGCCCCCGCTTTGCTGTCAGCAATCTTTCAGTCTCTCTTGGCAGGGTGCTGTGCAGCTGTTGGCCTTGCTGTGGTGTATTTCCAGACACGGTTATTTTTAGTGAGGGTTTTTTTATGTTGTAAACAATCTAGCATTAGGAACTGGAAGAGAGCAATAAGGGCCCTTGGAGATCTGGGTTGATTAGCAGGGGACCACATGGCTCTGAGTGGTTTCCACTCACAAAGTTTATTTCTATGCAGATTCTGGTTTTGTGCTCTTTCAGTTTGAACAGTTGCTGAAATGAGTCAAATAACTTTATATTCTTCAAAAGGAACACGTTTTCAAGAACCTTCAATGATTTTTACATATTAACTTCCCTCTTCTTCTGTTTCAGATGATTGAAAAAAGACCAGGTCATAGCCGCAGCCGTGTCTTCCGTGAGGTGGAGATGCTTTACCAGTGTCAGGGCCACAGGTATATTACACTCATTACAGCCTTTAAATACAGCATATTGTATGTCATGTCCAGATTACTGGATGTCTAACTTTTAGATATTTCCTTCTGTTCTGCAGGAATATCCTGGAGCTGGTGGAGTTTTTTGAAGAGGAAGACAAATTCTACCTGGTGTTTGAAAAGCTCCGAGGAGGTATGTTCCCTTCTTTATTGACGGTCTAGGTTCATTGTGTTTTTCAATTAGGCTAAACGGTTAACCTTCACCCCCATATTAGGGTCAGTCCTGGAGCAAATTCACAAGAGGCAGCACTTCAGTGAGCGGGAAGCCAGTCTGGTTGTCTATGACATCGCCAGCGCTTTAGATTTCCTGCATAACAAAGGTAAGACCTTATGCATTCAGCTGTGTTTGCATTGGACTCCAGATTTATCTCAACATTAAACAGGAATTTAATAGACTGATTTTCTTCTATGTGTTTTTCAGGAATGGCTCACAGAGATCTGAAGCCTGAAAACATTCTCTGTGAGAGTGCAGACAAGGTGAGTTATCTCCACTTGGCTCAAAGGCTAACACATGTAGCTGTTGAATGGAATTTGTGACGATATCCATTTTTATCATAATGAATCTTTCACTTGACCTGATGCAGCCTAACTAACTTGAATTTTTTTCTGGACAGATTTTTCCAGTCAAGATCTGTGACTTTGACCTGGGCAGTGGGATCAAACTGAACAGTGACAGCTCTCCCATCTCTACCCCTGAACTCCTCACTCCTGTAAGTCCAGCTGATTGTTTTCCATATCCTCATCAGTGGAGGTTTAAACATGTCATGCAAAAATTATTTTTATGTCCTCGCTGTGGCTGTAATTGGATTTTTCTATCTGATCACCTGTTGAGCAACCCTCAGAGCTGTCTGCTGCTGGATAGTTGATGGATTCAGGGAGGAACTGTGGTGTGAGCTTATGGCTGTACAGAGCAATGTCCTTTCTTTCAAAGAGCTTGGATTGTTTCCCAGATCCTCTCTTTATAAACTGCTCTGTTTGATGTTGTTCTTTTGCTTATCTGTGGTAAATATTTAGCTCCATTAGTTTGGAGGTTAGGTTTGTTTAACCCCGTTTTGTTCCAACATAGCATCTCCTCTGAACTGTATCCAGAAAACGGGGCGACTGCTGTCCTGCAAAAGTTGAGGTGAAAACGTGCAGCAGAGCAGGTTGGGGGGGGTTAGAAACATGAAGGTGAACTTTAGCTTTGCCGTGAGACGTGAATCAGGTTTTACTGTTCAACTTCTGGATCAAATTTAGATTTCCTAAAGTTGTTGCAGTTTGGGACATTTGTACTTCGAACTATTCAGAGGGGACTTTTTGTTTTTTTATCACTTAGAGTGTTAGGATTTATTAACAGACTAGTTGATCCGCAGGTTAGAACATTGTGTGATATCCTTGGGGATTTAAAGCCTGTAAGCAGGCAGTATAACTTTTACAAGGCCATATCCTAAGGCACGGATAAGAGAAACACAAACTAGTTTCTTTTTTTCTCTCTCTCCCTCTCTGTGAGAGGCGGGGTGGGGGGTGGAAAGTTATGCCTCTTCTGCAAATGTCTCTGGCCAGCGGCCCCCTCAAACCTGCCCTTTCCTTTATGTTTGTTTTTTTTTTTTTCTACAAAGGCTGTTCATAAAGCTTATTCTAGAAATGTTAGTCCTTCCCCCACCACCTAGCAACTGGACCGTGGTTGGCTGAAGCTGTTAGCAAGGGGAGGGAAGCAGGGAGGGCTAAATATCCTGTCTGGTCATGCGCTGAAGCTTGTTTTTGTCTCCTTGATCGGTGGAACAATGTTATCTGATTTTCTTGTCTCGCTTAGCAGTTGCACTCCGCTCCCTTTTAATCACATTCCTACAGCTGCTGTTGCAAAAAGTGTTTAGATTTCTCAGCTGCACCCAAAGCATTTTACTGCACATGAATGAAATCACTGGGTCAGAGCAGAGAGATGCAAATTAATTGCAGGAGTTAAACTGCAGAATCTGAACGTGACGGAAGAAAATGCAGCTTCATTAATTCAGAGCTGCTTTTGGTTGCTACAGGTGTGTCTTTGCCTGACCCAACATGTTCAGTAAACTTCTTCAGCTAATCCTGTAGTTTACACGCGGCAGAGGTATGTCGTCAGAGCTGCCGGTGTGGCCTGACTGGTCACATGGTTGGTGGAAAGCCCCCGGGCTGCAGTACCAACAAATCTAGCCGTAGAGCAGAAGATAACTGCAGCTTACAGGAAGGTTTAAGGAGGATGTTACTGTAAGCGAACAAGGTGATTGCAACAGATGTACAGGAAGAGTAAATGAGTTTAAGGATGTCCCATCAGATCCTTGCTTCTTTTTTTTTTTTTTTTTTTTTTTTTTNTCTGCAGAGCTGTGTCAGCTCTTGGCCCCTCTCGTCATTGTAGGAGACTGTGCTTGAACCTTTCCAAACCTGGAGTTCTCAACCTCATTTACAAGAACTCTCTGGACTGGACTGATCCGAGATCCTTCCCCGTTTTGGCTCCTCTTTGACTCTTGGTTCCTCTGCTCTCTGGCTTCAATGCCGACCTGTGAAGAAGGGTGGCGCCTGCAGCCATCCCTCTGAATGCCTTCTACCCTTATGCAGCACTTCTGAAGCACATCTACACAGGACCTGCATAGAGCACATTCAGGTTGGGGAGGAGGGTCGGCTCATGATTTGGGAAAGTGTTTCTTCTCTTTATGACTCAGTTTAAAAGTCCAAACTTTAAAACTAAGCTCAGACACCAAAGGACTACCTGTTGTGCTGCTCCCATGTTACAACTGGATCCACTGTGAATTAAGTTATCTGGAACGTTCTTTTTGCCTGTATGTATACACACACACACACGAGCGGCCCAGACTTAAAAGCTTATGCAATATGCCAATATGAAGGCTGTTCTGTCTCTAATGGATTCTGTATCCGAGAGGTTCAAAGGGCTTAAAGCCAATTCTGTCTGTGCCTGGTGCAGTCCGCTCTGTGGCTAGAGACTGCTCAGACCCCCACCCCCCCATATACTGCAGATCATTTTCTTACATCTGAGTATGTGTCTGAGAAAGAGCGTGCACTCATCAGCCCGGTGGCCATGCACTTAATGCTGTAAGAGCAAAGAATGTTAATCTGTCCCTTTTTCAGTTTGTCTCCTCCACGTTATCAGCCGCCGCAGCTCTTGTTTTCAAGTCTGATGGCATGAAGATTGAACAGTTTGTGGTACGGGGGGTCTGGCCACCCAAAATTATTTCTTTTTTTTTTCTTATCAGGCCAATTTCAGGTTCTCTAAATTGTTTAACAAGTGAAATTGGGGCAGTGTTACTTTCATTGTAAGCAATCCACTTTTTTTTTTTTTTTTTTTTTTTTTTTTTTTTTTTTCTGTGGCGTTCTTGGTTTCCTGTTTCAGCAAGTTGAGTTTTGTCTGCTTTCCACTTTAGGCTTAATGCTGAGTAGGTGCTCAGATATCAACGGGTGAAAAATCCTGTTTTTGTCTGGGTAGCAGGTCACCCCAAACATGGAGAATAAAAGGTGGGGGAGGGGATATAGTGACAGAAGCAGCTTTGTTTGAGTTGAGATTCCTCTGCAGTGAATTTTATTGCAGAAGGAAGCAGCTGGGATGGGGGGGTTGTTTGGAGGCAGCTGGTCTGTATGGTACGGGGGCACAATGAACACCTACTGTGTAAACACTGCCTTTAATAGATGCACGTTCAGGGGTGGTAACTTGTAAGAGTCTCATTAATCCCAAAGCTAAAATGCCTTTAGGGAATCTGTTAGATCAACCTGCCTCTCTTTCTATTCCCTTAAATTTTGCTGTTTGTATCCAACTTGTGCAGCTAACTGTTGCTCAGCCTTTGCCCCAGCTGTAAAGAACAGTCGATCCTCTCCCAGCACTTTGATGTTTGCCCCCATTTCCTCCCCAGCTACAAATCAAGGCAGCGACTATCCCTATAAACAGCCCCATGCAGCTGTGTAAAGTTTAACGTTCAGCTTAAAGCAGCAAACAGCCGGTTCATTACAAGGAAAACTGAATCAGAATTTTAAACCAATTTAAAATTCACATGTGACTGTCAGACACTCAGGCAAATGAGGTCCTGTGCAAAAATAGGCTCTCTTCCCCCTTTCAGCCATAACAGAAGGTATCAGCTGACAAGAGTTCAGCAGCACTGCTTGTTTTGGGGCATTCTGATTTGCAGCGGCTCTAAATCCTTGTTTTTCTCCATTACAGTGTGGCTCAGCAGAGTACATGGCGCCTGAAGTGGTGGAGGCCTTCAGCGAAGAAGCGACAATCTATGACAAGCGTTGCGACCTGTGGAGCCTTGGAGTCATCCTCTACATCATGCTGAGTGGTTATCCGCCGTTTGTCGGTCGATGTGGCGGTGACTGCGGATGGGAGCTGGGAGAACCCTGCCACACCTGCCAGGTAATTCTTTTACCATTGATTCTCTGTGGGTGTGCGATCAGCACAAACAAAGATGGCTGATGGTGGACCGTTCTCTATCCGCAGAACACTTTGTTTGAAAGTATCCAGGAAGGAAAGTACGAGTTTCCAGAGAAGGATTGGGCTCACATCTCCTCAAGTGCCAAAGACCTGATATCCAAACTTCTGGTTCGGGATGCCAAAAAACGTCTGAGTGCGAGCCAGGTTCTGCAGCACCCATGGGTACAAGGGGTAAGTGTGGACGTCCCTGTATGGCTGAGCGTCTACTTCTGGGTCTGAACCTGAAACCTCTTTACTAATATATTAATCTTTAACCTTACAGGGAGCGTCTGACTCTTTATCAAAATCAATCATCCACCAGAGGTAAGAAGACTGAAGCTTTATTCAGTAAACCTGCTTTAAAAGATGGCTTTCCTTTTTTTTTTAACTCATTTCCTCTCTTCTCCAGAAACAGCAGTGCTGTGGATCTAACGTTCTTCGCAGACAAGGCCATGGCCGTAAACCGGCAGCTGGCTGAACAGGACGGTATGGAAGAGCAGCAGCAACAGGAAGTCCCGCTGGTGATCGCTGCTGGAGGCTCCTCCATGCGCCTCTCGCCTCCATCCAACTCCAAGCTGGCGCGGCGCCGGCAGAGGGGCAGCCAGCCGAAGGGGGGGCCTGTCTCTGCTGCAGAGCTGTGTCAGCTCTTGGCCCCTCTCGTCATTGTAGGAGACTGTGCTTGAACCTTTCCAAACCTGGAGTTCTCAACCTCATTTACAAGAACTCTCTGGACTGGACTGATCCGAGATCCTTCCCCGTTTTGGCTCCTCTTTGACTCTTGGTTCCTCTGCTCTCTGGCTTCAATGCCGACCTGTGAAGAAGGGTGGCGCCTGCAGCCATCCCTCTGAATGCCTTCTACCCTTATGCAGCACTTCTGAAGCACATCTACACAGGACCTGCATAGAGCACATTCAGGTTGGGGAGGAGGGTCGGCTCATGATTTGGGAAAGTGTTTCTTCTCTTTATGACTCAGTTTAAAAGTCCAAACTTTAAAACTAAGCTCAGACACCAAAGGACTACCTGTTGTGCTGCTCCCATGTTACAACTGGATCCACTGTGAATTAAGTTATCTGGAACGTTCTTTTTGCCTGTATGTATACACACACACACACGAGCGGCCCAGACTTAAAAGCTTATGCAATATGCCAATATGAAGGCTGTTCTGTCTCTAATGGATTCTGTATCCGAGAGGTTCAAAGGGCTTAAAGCCAATTCTGTCTGTGCCTGGTGCAGTCCGCTCTGTGGCTAGAGACTGCTCAGACCCCCACCCCCCCATATACTGCAGATCATTTTCTTACATCTGAGTATGTGTCTGAGAAAGAGCGTGCACTCATCAGCCCGGTGGCCATGCACTTAATGCTGTAAGAGCAAAGAATGTTAATCTGTCCCTTTTTCAGTTTGTCTCCTCCACGTTATCAGCCGCCGCAGCTCTTGTTTTCAAGTCTGATGGCATGAAGATTGAACAGTTTGTGGTACGGGGGGTCTGGCCACCCAAAATTATTTCTTTTTTTTTTCTTATCAGGCCAATTTCAGGTTCTCTAAATTGTTTAACAAGTGAAATTGGGGCAGTGTTACTTTCATTGTAAGCAATCCACTTTTTTTTTTTTTTTCTACAAGTAGAATTTTGTATATATATATTTTTTTTCTACTGTTGAATTTGTGCATTTGATATAACCTTAAATATTTTGCAAGTAAAGGTTAGAAATCCTTGAAGGGGTTTGAAAAAGCACACGGCCACTGTGACCAGAGTATCTTTATTTTGTTATTCTTTTGCTCTCTATTGGATCCGTTAAAAATTTGACAAATCTTGATTTCTTTTGCCACACAGAATTTCCAGAACTCAACTACTTTAAAAAAAAAAAAAAAAAAAAGCTGGTTATTATTTTACTGAAAAGCATTTTAAAGGAAAAACATTCCAGGAAAAAAACCTTAGAAATCAGCGTGACGAGTTTCTTTTATGTTCAGACGACTCCACATCAATGTGCCACTCATTTTTTAATTTTTTTTATTTGTGGTGCTGTTTGGTTTCGATACAGCACCTGAAAATGTCCTTTAAGTTTTTCTTTTAATTGTTTTAAAGTTCAGAGTGTGCTGTATGTGGTTAAGCTTGTTTAATCTGGAGCGTTCATGCCCAGTTTATTTTATTTTTCCCCTGCTGTGTGAAAGTTGGCAAATGTCAGGAATGGGTTGAATCTCACTCTGTAACTGACATGTAACGGACCGGCGACGGCGCCTCAGCGCTGTGGCCGCTTCACCAAAGAAGGTTCAAGTTGTGACGATAAACGCGTCCTCGTCCATCATGTAGCATTGAGATGTGGAAAAAGGTCCATGTCCCGTTGGCAGCACTGCAACAACGGTACTCTGGAAGCGGTCTCCAACCGACCCATTCTGCTGAGAATAGGACACTGTAATGGATCTAAATACTTTTTCTACACACTCATCATTACGGGGTTTTATGTCTTATGAGACTTACTTGAAGTTCTATATATGCAGCTGTTTTTTCTTCACTTTTGGAAACTACTTTGCTATCAATCTGAAAGCATTAAGCTGACGATCCAGGCAATCTTTGGGGTTTTGAAGATACCTATACATTTCAGTATTTTTGCCTTTTTATTTTTCCCCTTTTAAGCTTCAAGTTGTTCCCGATTTAACGGGGCTGGAAACTTAACGCACACACTTCGACCATACTCTGTAATGTCCGTGTGGATGTTGTAAGAGTTATACTGGTCATGACCATTTCTAATATCTGCCCAGTTGCAGTTTTTGTTCTGGTCTGCCTTTTTTTGTTTTTGTTTGGGGGGAGGGGGTAAATGAAATCTTGCAGCCTCCAGAGTTGTATTGTTTGTCAAAGTGTTAAAATAGTCATTCTAATGGACAGTATCACAAGCCTACACAGTTTGAATGTAGCCCACAGTCCAGTCATCTGCAGTCCAACATGGATCCTAAGATCAGCTCCTTTTCATCAACATGAAGACGGGTTAGTCTGTTAATGCAGATACAGTCCACAAGCATTTTATTAAACCCATGACCTAATTTAACACTGAAAAGCCCCAGGCCCTATCGAGCTCAGGGGAAGAAATTAAGTTTGTCATTTAAGAACAAAACATTTTTGATTAAAAATAAGCACTTTACTGTACCATGTGAATGATAGCAGTTCACTCAAGGCAACATTTGACAGTTGCAAACAGAATTTTGTATTGTTTTTCTAAAAAAAAAAAAAAAAAAATGCAATAAAATGCTTTAAACTACAATCGTCTCCGTTATCTGTTTTATTTATTTATTCCCGTCAGGGTTGAACCCGGATAAGAACTCCTGAACCATCACCTTTCTATGTCCAACAACCTTATCTTTAGAGCAAGGCTGAGGCCTTTCATCTGGATCTGTAAACACTCCCTGATACCAGCAGAGACTGACTCACATGTCTCTGGATGTATGAGCTCACCTATTTTCACCAACAAAATGTGACTAGTTTCACCTTGCCTGCAGCTCGCAGCAGCTGTAGGGGGCGCTGTTTGCAGAAATGATTTGGTCTGATGCAACCTCCTGCAAGAGCTGCAGCCTGGACTCCCCCTGAGTGCCAAACCTTTGCTTCCATGGAGATTCAAAATATGATTTGCTAAATAAAACTAATGCCACTTTCAACATTCCTGTAAGGTGAATATGTTTCTCACTCAGGTTAGTTTGCAGAGCAGAAAATACAGTCTCTGGTTTAACTGGGCTTCCATCAATGCTTTAACATCCTTTTTGGGATGTATTAATGTGACGAATCGCCTCCCGTTAAATTTATCTGTTTAATGTCGCTTTTTGGTGTTGCAATGTGTATTTTGACTTGATTCACCAGGTCCAGAGGTCTGAAATAAACACCCACCAGTTACATAACTTGTTTCAGCACAGTAGACGTCATAGCAAATGATGCAACAGCAGTGTGTGTTTTCTGCATTCAGGGGAATATTTGCTTTTGGTCCTCCAGTGGGTATCTGGCTCCCCCTGCTGGTCAACTTTGATTCTCACATTTTTATTAATGTAACCCACACATTTTTAAATCAGGGTTTTCCTATTAGAAATCTACGGAAGAGGATTAGGGCCACTGAAGAATTAAAATTTTTTTTTTCCCATTTCAGTTTAAAATGGGAAAAAAGTCAGTAGTCTGACTTTAATCTTAGATTCCAGACTTTTATTCTCAGTATTCTGACTTTAATCTCAGAATTCTGAATTTTTTCTCAGTATCCTGACATTAATCTCAGAATTCTGACTTTTTTCCTCACTAGTCTGACTTTAATTTCAGAATTCTGACTTTTTTACCTCAGCATTCTGACTTTAATCTCAGAATTCTGACTTTTTTCCTCACTAGTCTGANATTCTGACTTTAATCTCAGAATTCTGACTTTTTTCCTCACTAGTCTGACTTTAATCTCAGAATTCAGACTTTTTTTCTCAGCATTCTGACTTTAATCTCAGAATTAACACTTTTTTCTCAGTATACTGACTTTAATCTCAGAATTCTGAATTTTTTCTCAGTATTCTGATATAAATCTCAGAATTCTGAATTTTTTTCCTCAGTATTCTGACTTTAATCTCAGAATTCAGACTTTCTTCTCAGCATTCAGACTTTAATCTCAGAATTATGATTTTTTTTTTTCTCAGTATTCTGACTTTAATCTCAGAACTATGACTTTAATCTCAGAATGTTGGATCTTAATGTAGATGGGCACCATGAAGGAAAAGATGTGGGAGCACTCAGCATCACTGACAGTGAAGTTGTTTAGGAAGGCCAGTAACACATTGGTGGAAAATTATAGAATAAGGCGACTTTTTATGTGCCTGAGGGGTCCCCGGTGATGCTATTTCATTAATGGAAGAGCAGAAGGTGATTAAAACAATAGCTAGTTTTTTCTTTAAAACAGACATGACTAAGGCTTGATGCTAACATGTTTGTTAGCTGTCAGAATTCAGTCAGAATTATGAGATTAAAGTGCAAAATAATCATTAGTTGCAGCCCTCATCCTGAGTGATCTCTTCTCAGGAAAATAACCGGAGGGGAAAAGGCTTCAAGGACACACAGAACTTTTCTTAACAGTAAAAAGGCTATTTTAAGATTAGGTCATGTTATTTTAAAAGAAATATTTATCGAATCAAACTTAAAATTGCTGGCGAATTCTGGCATTGTAAAGACCCAAATGGAAAATGTACAAAATAACTTATTCATTCAGAGGAAACCCTTTTTTGGAGGTGGGTGGTGGTGGATATGTTTAATTTTGTTGAATAACTGATTTGATTATAAGTCCTGTTTGTCTCTGTGTTGCCATGCGATGGACTGGCGACCTGTCCAGGGTGTCCCCCGCCTCTCACCCATAGACAGCTAGAGATAGGCACCAGCACCCCTCACCACCCTACTTGGGATAAACATTAGAGAAGATGAATGGATGGATGATTATAAGTTGGCAAAATGGTTAAAAAAATTAATATATAATCTAATATATATAATAATTTGGTTTTACATTATTGCAGCCTTGGGCTAACCCACCAATGGTTGTCAGCCCACTGGGCACATGCCCTGTATGCTCAATGGCCAGTTCAGCCCTGCACCAAATAATGTATTTTTCTCTTTAGGATGGATTGTGCCTACTGTCTCATGCAAAGGATTGTGAGCAATTATATAGTTTCTAGTGGTGGCTATGGACATCCGAAGGTCTCTTTGCTTGGAGGCATATTGTTTTCCATCTATGGAAAACCAGCTGATTCCATAAAATCATTTGATTTGCAAGATTCGCTCCTGTTAAATGAGCGGACCCAGTCGCACTCTGGAACGGAACCAAACCTCCGGCCCCTCCATTCCACTGAGCCAACAAGTAAACATGTTTTCCCTTCTTTCATCGGATGCTTAATAAATACTCTGCTTTGGAGAGAGAAGAGATCTTTTTACATGTGCTGTTTGTGTTTTATCTGATAGAAGCTTCTGATTCAACATCTGATGGTTTTTAAGTAAGAGTTGAGAACAGAATGCTAATGCTCATTGAGCCTAAATAAAAGATCCATGCTGTGTTACTGTTGGCTGAATTCCTCTTTTCCATTTGTTTGAAGAGTTTGGCCAGTTGGACTGGTTAGCATAGTTAGCATGAAGCTACCTCATTGGTATGGTAGCAGCAGTAGTCTAGTTGTAAAAAAAAAAAAAAAAAGGGGGGGATGGTGGAATATTTTTTTTGGAAGTATAAGTAGCCTAATTGATATAGTCTATTAAACTAAAGCGCTATGCATGGTTTGGTTGATACATGTCAGGTACGCCGGGCATTGACCGTGACCGAGGCACCTTACAGTAGAACTGCAGTCACACCCTGGACTGGCCTGGCTATCACTGTTAGGGACAAATGAAGAGGACTAATGTCCCACTGGGATCAGCTTCATAGTGATGGAAGGCCACTTCTTTGATTTGATTTGATTTGATTTAATTTGCTCAGGCTAGTTAGCCCACATAATGTTGAAAGGGCAATATTATTCCCATTACTGTTAATATGTAGTAGAAATTTTACACATTCAGCAATAAAATATAACTGGGGATGGTATGGGGGGATGGTCATTTAAGAAGGGGGAGGATTTTTAAGATTTATTTAGGAAGGGGAATGCCACCCCCCCTCATCCCCCTTCAACTCGAGTACTGGGTAGCAGCCATTTGGTGAGTCTAACTAACCAGATACCCTGTGCCAGCTGAACTAACCCATTGTTTCCAGTTTCACTATTAATGCTTTCCTGAACTGAGTCATTGTTCATCTTTCACTGTAACAGCGAATTAAACTTTACTGTTTTGACTGCATGTAATACCTTATTCACATTTATATGCTGCTATTTTCAAAGGACACGTTTAATGCATTGAGCCTTAGAACTTGAACAGGCCTCAGAGACTCTAACAGACTCTTAAACCCATTTCCCCTTTTTGTTTGCTCTTATTGATCTGTTCTTATTATCAGTAGTGTTTGCATAGCTATTAGATCCAATAATCCCATCATAGGGATTATTAGGTAATAAAGGTAGCATTGTATTTCACCATGTGGTCTTTCGTGGTTATTTTATGCAGTGAACGATCTGCCACTCAGGTCCGATTGACCTTCCTCTAGGTAACATTTGAATGAAAAGAGAATATTTATTTTGTTGGTGATTAATAACTCTGCTGATAGCCATAGTCTAAATGACTAAGTGGGTGAAGACAACTGGATTTTAACAGCAACATCAGGAGTCCAACCTTTAGGTAAAAGACTAAGAACTCTGGTGAGAAAGAAGATTACAGTTATAATCATTTAAATAATAATAATTAATTGTTTTTACCATAGAATTTAGTATATAACTCTCAGTTCTAATTATGCAATATATTCATAATCTTCTGGTATAAATGCACAACAGCAGTGAAGACGAATATGTCTTTGACTGTCTATAAAATGATCACATTCCTGTTGGATTCCAACTTATTTTAAACAGTGTGTAGCTGAGACCCGTATGTCCTCATGATGTCCAGTAATTACATTTCCTTCTTTTTTATTCTCTCTTGTTTTCCTTCCAACCCCACCATGTTTTTGTATACTGTATAAACCTGTTCTGCTATATTGTATTTGTATTTACTTTTTTGCTTCTTTTTTGTCTCCCCTAGATATTTTCTGCTTTGTCCTCTTTTGTGTAGATTCATTTGTTTTCATTTTGTGCACACAGCTTAAGTTCTATGGTGTTTTTGATGTAACATTGACAAAATGTGGATTTATTTTGTACAGCAATGACAGCAATGATTTTGTACAGCAATGATTGGATAAGGGTGGCCATGGCCACCCTTATCCAATCATTGGCCACCCCTGTGGCCACCCCTACCATTTTTTCCCTCTAATACATATGGTGGCAGCAGTGGCAGGGTTTTGTTGCCAATTACTTGACAACAAAAACCATGTGGTTAATTATGCTCATCAATATACTAACATTAAAGAGGATAAATACAGAATCCATGCTCTTTTTAGAACTAGATTTTTGTTATATGGGGTAAAGAGAAAATAATGTGTCTCTGCAAGTCATCTAAGAGGCTTTAGTAAAATCATAGATAAATAAGTGTTTTAATAAAAACATATTAAATAATCAGTTCATGTAGATATTAGTACATGTAAATGTCAATTTTAATCCGAAGAATTATTGATAAAAGTAGGTAAGTAATGACAATGGAAAAGGTGTCTGCCCCAGATCTCAAACCTGAAAGAATTTTATCCCCTACACCTTCTATCCATCTATTTGTTAGCAAAGGCTGTAGGAAAGTATAGTTAGTCTTTATTTTGAAAATATGGATGTTGCGCTTGTTAATTTTCTTTTTGGAACAGTGTAGATTGACCCTGAGGTTCTGGTGCCTATCCACTTTCGACCACCTATCAGTGTACATTGGTTATTGGCCGGCCACCCTTATAAAAATGTTCTGGCTACACCTCTGTTGTACGGTAACCCATGTCTGTAGCAAAACATTTGATTTCAAGGGGGGAAAAAAAGAAAATGAGAAAAAGGGGCAAGCGTTAAGAAGTTTTATACTTCAGCTTACTACTTTTTTACAGTTGTGTGTACTTTGCACACTCATTGTATATCACACAAATTAATCCTGTTTAGTTTTTTTTTTTTATTTAACACAAATTGCTGAAATAAATAAACAAACAAACAAACAAGTTTCTTGAACATCCCAGCACTCCTGCCAAGTGGTTCATGTATATATCTTCATAAACGATTTACTCAGTGGGACTTGTACCACTGTAGTTTTCTTCTTGATAGCTTGTTTGCCTGAATGTCTGCCATTTCAATTCCCTTCCACATGTTCCGACATGTCCTGGAATCCATAGAAAATATATCGCTGCATCTTTTAATTCAATTATATACATTAAACTGATTGACATACCATTTCAAATACTAGTAGTACCATTTTCTGTCAAGCTTTATCCCTGCTGGGATCGCGAGGGTGCTGGTGCCTATCTCTAGCTGTCACAGGCCAGAAACAGGGTACACCCTGGACAGGTCACCAGTCTATCGCAGGGCAACACAGAGACAAACACATTTACACCTAAGGACACTTTTAGAAAAGCCAATTAACCTAACAGTCTTGTGTTTGAACTGCGAGAGGAAGCAGGAGTAACCGGAGAAAACCAGTGCATGCTCAGGGAGAACATGCAAACTCCATGCAGAAAGAGCATGACTTCTTGCTGCAAGACAGCAGTGCTACCCTCTGCACCACTGAGCAGCACATCCTGAAATACCATCAGATGAAATAATTGGGGCTTTCATTTTTTCCTCCTCTCTCTACTGGAGAGCCAAAACCTTCACCAACAGTTCTGTGGTTTATGCTTCATGCTTTATAAAGTATGATCCACAGAATTGTTGGTAATGCTTTATGTGCTCAGAGGTTATCTTCCTGGTGCAAATGTCTCTGGCTGGAACATAAACTGCTGAATCTGTTCAACTTGTCTCAGGATCCTTTGAACCATACGTAAATATAAGTACATCTTTGAAAAAATGTTCACAGTAAATTTTGACAATAGCTTTTGCCATCTTTTAGTTTCTCTTGAAAGCTTAGATTTCTGTAAGGTAATGGGAATATCCATGGAGCATCAGAGGACGATGGAACAGTTGGACTAATTTTAAATTGACATAAGTCAACACTTTGTGGTTATGCATTACCTATGCAAGCAAAATTATAGATGTGCAGTTTTCTTCATCTTCCTCTTCTGTTGAATGGAGGCATACAACTAAAGTGGATATTATATTAATGCTACATAAAAAGTTATTTCTTCTTTAAGTCATTTAGGGAATCTCAATAATAAAGACTAACCCTCTGATCTAGCGTCTTTGGATAAAGGCTGTTTTGTGTTCAGTTATAATTTCTTGGCTTGTAATCTTCAAATTGGTTTGTTTCTCTGAGCTACATATTTAGTGTCATACATAAAACATTTTCCACTGAAAAAAAATCCACTTCCTTGTAACATGTTTCCCTAATTTAAATTACATGCTGTTTAAACCTGCATGAACAAAGCCTAACACAGATATTGCTTAAGTTTTTTCAATGCGTTTGGGATTTTCTCACAGTGCCAACATATCATCATCTCCCAGTTCTTTCTAATGTTTATGGAATTTCCAATAATTAAACTCCTGATCTTAATTTCTTTTAAGGATGTGAAAATTTATTTTAGCTTCAGGAATCATTCATTCACATGTCGCTGGAAAAGGAACTGAGCTTACCTGTTGACAGAGAGCCAATTATCACCTCATTTGTTACCTAATGCTTCACACCTGTTAATTATGGCAGGTGTCCAAGAGCTGATAAAAGGCCTGAGCGGGAGTCTGGCTGCACTTTGCCAGTGGATGTCTGGGTAGGTATGTTCAATTGTAAAGATTTGTCTGACAAACTTAGATTTACCTGAACAGACTATAAAATGCTTTTCTGCTTTATGAATTTGCAGCTAATTACAGATAAACTATCTCATTGTCCCAACCCGCATCAGATGAGGTTGTATTAATATGGTTTACATAAGTATGTGGGTCTTATTGACTGAATTTGTCTAAATGGGTGAGTACATTTTGGGAGATTTTATTTTCTGGTGTCCTGCAGATCAGGCATCAGTCCTGGAGGGCCGCTGTCCTGCAGGTTTTAGAGGTTTCTCTGTTTTAACGCAGCTGATTCTGATGATTGCAGTTCAGCAAAAACCTGTTAATCAACCATCAATGTAAATCAGCTGTGCTGGAGCAGGGAGACCTCTAAAAACTGCAGGACAGCGGCCCTCCAGGACCAACTTCAGGGATGCCTACTCTAAATGTATGCTTTTAAACACCTGACTTGGACGTCTGCTAATTGAGCCCCATAGAACCTGAATGTTTCACAATCTGCTTCATCTGTAGGGCAATCTAAAAGTTGCAGGACTCCAACTCTCAACTGCTTAAGTTTGAGACCATTGTTTAGGTAAATATTAGTCATGTAATTTGGCAGGAAACTCTTGTTAGCTTCTGTTCCTTGCAGGTCTTCTATGCCTCATGAAGCCTAATTTTAAAGTCTCCTTCCCCTTGTGTCTTTGAAAACTCCTCTAAATGTGTTTTTTATGATTTCTTGTGACCATTTCAGTCTAACTTTTCTCCAAAGGCATATTGGCACTTTTTATGCTTCACCTGGAATGGGAGATTCCAGTTAATTGGAAGAGGATCTCAGTCTTATGATGCAGTTTCCAGCTCAAGGGATCTTCTAAATCACAACTGCACCCAGCCACCAAAAGTCTGTCTGGAACAGTTCGTGGGAGAAACTGTGCACAGGGGAATCCTACATCGCACACGTTAAAATCAAACTCTGCTGCTGCATATAAAATCAAAGTGGTTAACTGTTTAGTTTTTTTTTTTCATTTGGTTATATGAATTAAACTCATAAGTCTTTTTTGAAATTAGCCTGCGGTGCTATAAAACCATGAATACTTTCATAGATGTTTTGACCTGTAACTGTAGCATTTCTCTTTCATATTTAAAACTATAAAGCTTTAACTTGCAAAAAGCTATGAACTACATATTTAATATTTCTGGATGATTGTGTGATATATTGTCATATCCCTGTGTGATTAAACATTTTAAAACCTTTGCCTTTTTGTAATTGATGCAATATAAAGACTGTTTCAGTGGTGTGGTGTTAGGCTACCACCAATAAGCGGTCTGGCTGCTAAACTAATGAAATAAGGCTTTTTTAAAGTAAAACAAAGCCATTCATTAGCCCAAACATGGTGTTTGAGGTTTTTTTTTCTCCAGCATGTAGCCTTCCTGACGTCATCGAACTGCACTTCTCGCGAGACTTCTGCTCTTCTCGCCCCAGTCTGTCATGGCGCCCTAGAGACGCTGTTATTGTTCAGTTCTGTGGGTTGTTTGGAAAACCAACGCGGAATATAAAGCCCATAGAGGACGCGCGGGAATGAGAGGACGATCCGGAGATAATGTTGAGGACCACCGGCTTCTTCCGAGGGATTGACTGTCCGTTTTATTCGGACTACGACGGCGGCAAAGGCGGTAGAAATGGGTGTAACAGACCGTACTGTCACTTCAGGCACAGCCGGCAGAGTCGGCCGTCCTACGGAGACATTAAAAAGCTCCAGTCCGGACAAAAAGGTGCATATTAAGTGAAGTATTTATTTCTCTGTCTTGTTAAATCACACAAAAAACAAGTTGACATCAACTAATAACATGAAACCTTCCATATCCATCGCTTTGATGGGAATTTTGGTATCTTTGTCCTCTGGTCATGCTCTTTAATGTTTCACCCTGTGTTGGAGACCAGCTGTGAAAGACTAATTAATTAGTCACTGGGTGGAAATCTAACCCGCAGTGACAATAAAGTATCCTGCAATGTATGAAATGTTGCCCTTGAACCACAAAAATGGCTTTTTAATGTTTTAAATCGCAGTTAAATCTAATGGGGTTTGATTCCCACATGGAAAACATTTTTACAAGACAGTGTATTAAAAACTACTTCTGTAAAGATGTTTAATTACTGAGGCTATGGTAAAAGGCAAAAGCGCCACATTTAAGCAAAACACTGCATTTCTGCAGCTAAAAATACAAAGTTCCTTCATATTCCACATCCCTACATATAAAACAGAGCTATAATTGTGCAGATATTTAGTGATAGATATGCATGTCCGGCTAATAAGGATACAGCATTTTGTCCCACAGTTTAACAGAACATTTATGGTTTTATGATGCTAATACCAAAAGGGATGTTTAGCCAAGAATTTCTCATTCTGGTTTCCTGGTTTCTTGTTTCCATAGAGCAGGAAATCAGCTCTGTGTAACACTTTTGTCTTTACTGCATCAAAATAGTTTTATTTAATATTTCATCGGGTGTACACCTTGGTGCATCACATCTTTAGGATTTGCATAGCTTAGGGGGGTCTGCAGGTTTCCTCGCCCAAAATTTTGAAATTTAGACCCTGAAGCGCTATTTCTTGCATTTTGAGGTGGAATGCAGCTATCTTTTTGTCTTTTTCACAACACTACCTTGTCTTGGTTATGGGAAGTATGTGTGCTTGAGTAGAGGTGGAAATTTCATAAACAACCATATTTCATAGGTTAATTCAAACAATCAGAAAGTGTATTTTTTATGCTTTTACACAGGTCAGACTCAGGAGCATCTTTGAGTAATTTCCTGTTGTTGCTGATCATTTGTATTATTTTGAATATGAAGATGTACTTCAGAAATAAATACATATTCAGCCAAGCAAATGTCAAAATGGCCACTTAAAACGTGTAAACATTTATAGGCATATAAAACTTAAAGGTAAAGTGGAGGATTTTTGCAAATTTTTGAAAATACCTGCTCTCTCTACTTAAAAAAAAAGAAATTCACACGCTCAGCCCTGTATTCGCTCCCGAGAAGGAACGCCTATTAAACGAGTGTGAGAGCGTGCACAAGCCCATTTCTCCTCTTGCATGCTCCGTTTAAAAGTTGCTGTTTGCATCGCTCATATGAGCTTACTTTCCAAAAGAAGATTTGCAATTTTTCCACTATGTCAGACCAGGGCTGGACTGGGAGATTTTTTCAGGCCAGAAGTCAGTCATGTAACCAGGCCACGGTGGCTGACTGAAATTACTGATTTCTTAGGTAGTAAAATAAAACAGGACTAGGATCTGTTTTGCTTTCTGATGACGCAACTAAAAAAAATAAACAAGCTTTTATCAACCAAAAAGTAAATTTTTTATTATATGTTTGAGTTTACCATCAGCTTTGACAAACATCAAACCAAGTAGAGGAACAGACTGGATGTAGAGAACAGTCTGGTATCAGCTGTTTTTTCTCACTGAGCTATCGGAGCCCATCAAAGTAATTAAATTCTTCAAGTTCAAGTCTTGATGAAAACAAAGTAAAACAAATTAAGTCAGTCTGAGTATAATTTTTGTTCCCAATTCATCAAGTTTAAATGTGATTAAAGGGAAGCTCAGTTTTTACAAATACAGCTTTATAATATGACTTTATTTTGCATTTATTTTGATTCCTTAAAGCTACAGTCTGTAACTTTTAGCGACATCTAGCGGTCAGACTGCAGCAACATGAACATCTCCCCCCACCGCTTCTCCCCCCCAACAGTACAGCGAGCATTACGGGACAAAATGTCTTCCACGACGTCCGCATCACCTACCTTCTCAAGTGATAAGGTTTGTTTACATAGATAATTTTACAGATAGTATTTCATTAGTCTGTGTAGGGTATAGATTTCATGTAGACTTAAGATAATAAATATACCCGTTATTTTTTCTACATCGTTGTGACGTTTTGGCGATCTCACAATCGCTAGTTTGTTGGCTCTGCGCTGCCGTAGCGCAAAGATGTCTGCCTCCATGGCTGCGAGACCCGCTCCTATGTAATTATAAATAACGAATTCTAAGGCAACGCAAATATTAAGGTTAAGAGGCTGAGCTCGTAGATGATGATAAATAACATAGTTATGTATAATATATTACATTTCTGACTGTATATCCCTGTAATTATTACACACTGTAGCTTTAATCATTTCCAGGCAACATATTTATGTTTTCGTATTTAAAAAGAAAAACATACATTTTTAAAAATTAAATGCTCAAATTAAACTATTATGTAAAATAGTCTTTATTTAAGTTATTGTATGTAGCAATCATCAATACGTTTGACTGAGAGAGAAACTCATGGTATCAAAAATTGCCCAAAGGGAGACACAAGTCAAAAAAAGTTGCAAAACACTGATCTAGAAGGACCTACTGTAATTTCTAAGGTTGGAATATTCAGTAACTTTACCGCTGTAATAAATCAGGTACTGTTCTGCATTTGGCCACGTCCTCCTCCAGAACCTTTGTTTTTTTGTCTCTCTCCCTCTCTGCGCCGCCTTTCCTTTTACTATGTTCTAAGACCGAGGCCATTGCTTCTTATCCTCACTTGCACCGCTTGCTACCAGCACCAAACGCACATCACACACCTTCCTCCACACTCTGCTGTCTGTGTCCCTCCTTAAATGCTACCGGCCAAAGTGGCCTGGTCTGTCCCTCCCTCTGACAGGCGCGCTGCTGCTGCACCAGCAGACTTGAAATGAAAATAAAATAAGAGAGAGAGACGCAGGCCAATCCCAGGCCGGCGCTTCGGGAATACTCCCGTTTCTCCCAATGGCCATTCCAGGTATGTGTCAGACTCACTTCAGGTAAGTGAAAACACGGATGAGCACATAGGATGGCATTTAGTAAACACATCACCTGAATGATTGACAATTAGGAGGACCACTTATTTTGATGATCCACCCAGACATCCTCCACTATACCTTTAACTCTTCCTAGTATAATGTTGTTTTCTGAAATTCAGTTTCTGCTCCAAAAATGTAATTTAGAAAAACTGTTATTACAGTAATTACTAGGAATGTGATTTTGATCAGGAGGAATCATCATTTATTGATCTTCAAATGGAACAACAGAAATGAGTGCTTTTAATAAATTGAAGATATCCTGCCATAAAACACTTCAACTTAACTTGAGCAGGAATCTTCTCCTTTGTCATCTTCCTCTTCTTTGCAGCGCTGTTTCTGTCTTTAAACCCATTCTAATTGTTTTCCATTTGTGCATTAAACGCTCTAGTTCCAGTGATGTGAAATAGGCACTTCCTGTTGCCAGTTGTCATGGTGACTCGTCGAATCTGATAATGGCTTTTTATACTTGTTGCGTACATGCTGAACTCTGAGTCGACCTAGTTGATTAAACTAACACAACAGCCCAGCCAAAAACAAACTTAGGCTAGATTAATTCAGATTTGAGGACCTAAGTCAGTTTGTTAAACCTGCTTTGTGAAACGGGCCTTAGCTCTGCTTCAGTAGTCATCCAGCTGTTACTTATTTATGGATCATCTGCTTATCTCCTATCTCTATGTCTGTTTCCTGTTTTTGTTTATTTTCTGTTTATTTATTCTTATAAAAAAAAAGCTGTCATATGTGCATGCACTGTATACACTGTATATATCCCATGCAGCTTTTTTCTACTTTTTGGCACATTTTTTTTTCTGAGTAAATATCTCAGCTGTGAGATCAATAAAGTAAATCAATCAATTTATTGTTTCTTGCGCTTGAGCCTCTTTCTGCATTCTAGTTCATCTTCGGTTTTCTGGGTTAGTTGAAACTGTTTCTTCATTACTGTGTGGCAGCAAACCCACCTCCATTACATTACTGCCACCTGTAGGGCTGGAGTGAGAAAGCCAGGAGTCATAATCTGGTATTTTGCGGATAGAATCCTTCTGAAATAGTTTTTAAATTCATGTTTTATCTTAAAAGAATTAAACTGAGCTCATTTTGACCCCATTTTTTCCCTCATAAGTGTATGGACAAGTGTCTGCTTGTGCATATGTGACCAGTCACAACAACTAAGGACACAAGTCGATTTTGGGGCATTTTGACTTTTTCACTGGTTTGGAAAATTTAATTTCCAAGTTTTCCGATGATGTGTCACGCATGGAAAATTAGAGTTGTTTTTTTTTTGAGAGTCCACACGATCTGACAGTAGGCACATTGAAAAGGCTTAAGTGGGGAAATGTAAAGTCACCTATGGCTTTAGCAAGATTAGCAGTTGGCCCTGGGTTGTTCACCATCTTTTCTTGGTCTCTTACTAAGAGGCCAAAAAGTTTGTCTAGCAACATTTAGTGGTGAAATAACTTGAAACTGAAAAATTATTTGGAAACAAAAAAGATTTAAAGCTGAAAAAAAGTATTTAAAAATAAACTTAAATTGCAAAGAAAGAACCCGAAATAAATTTTTGAACTAGTTTTTAGGTTGAAGATTTCAGTAGATTCAGTAGGTTTTTTATGAAAACTGCTGAGACCTCTGTGTGGGGGCGGGGCTTAGATGACGTTTTGTTAGAAATAACAATTTGGGCACCTGAACAAAATAATGAAAGCAGTTGCCTTCAGGAACTATGGGAACTAAAAATGTCTATGAAGCTTCATTGACACTGGCTTTGAATTAAAAAAACAAACAAAAAAGAACTAAAACAAAACATGCTTTGTAGTTTTATTTAATTTTTTTCCAGTTTAAAAAAAAATTTGCGGCCTGCTACGCTGATATACGATGGTGAGAAATCTGCCCTTTTTTTTTGTAAATTAAAAACCATAACTGTGTTTCTTACAGACCAGGGTTACGATCCCTTCAACCCAGAAGTAGTGCGACCACAGGAGCAGCAGAATGGAAAGCCGGCTCCATCAGGAGACATCAGCGGCGCTCTGGAGATGGTCAACAGAGCCATCGAGGAAGTCCGCAGCGAGGTGGAGCGAGAACGGCAGAGGCTTTCTCGCATGGGAGACGAACCCTACAGCCCTACTGAGAAGACCTGTTCTCCTTCACCTGAAGCTGTTAAAAGTCAACCTCCCACCTCACACCTAGCTTATGATCCTGGAAGCTACCGGATCACATCAGGGGGGTACGAACCCACCCCAGGCTGCAGCAAATACACCTTAGATTCAGACGATCAGGGGCACAACAGCAACTCCATGGAGTATGTTCCCACGTCAATGAAAAAACCCCAGTCCCGCACACAAATCCCCTCCCCGCCCCAGAGCCCGAAATACATGAACAGTACATCCTCTGCAAAGTGCAAATACACTCTGGACAATTCTAAACCGTCTACTGATATGGAGTACGACCCTCTGTCTAACTACACTGCAGGTATAGCCGTGAAAACCAAGAAAGAGGAAGGTTCCCATCCAGGTAAGACGGACCATAAGACACACAAGCTAACGGGGACTGACAACCCAGATTGTGTTGGAAAAAAGCCCCAGCTGACGAGTATTGACTTAAAAAAGTACACCATCTCCGACTCTGATGGGGAGAGTTCTGGAACAGAGTATCGGCCCACATCGCTGAGCAATCTCCAGCAAAGAAAGGCCAACATTATGTCTGCTAGGGAGGCTTTAGAGAACGAAGCAAAAGACAGAAGCAAGAGTATAAAGGGTGCACTTACACAGAGGAACAAGGAGGAGCTTTCACAGGACTTAGACAGCCAGGAAAAAAACAAACAAAAGGAGAAGGTGCAAAAAAAGAAGGTGGGAGACCAGAGTGTTGGCAGTAAAAGCAGTAAACATGAGAAAACACAAACAACCGATAAGAACATGAAGACATCGTTGGGAGTTAAAAGTAGCAGCGGCAGCTCCAGTTGTACAAAAGACAAAGGATCAGTAAAGAACTGCAAACAGGACTCTGCTAAGAAAGAGAACAAGAGTCAGAAGAAAGACGATGGTAAAAACAGGGTAAAGGTGAAGGCATCGCTTCAAGTTCAGCGGGAAGGAAGGGATGAAAAGAAATGTGACGGTAAGAATAAGACGGTGGAAAAAGTTAAACGAGACTTAAGTCAACAAGACAGAGATGTACGAGAAAGTAAAAAACAGAAAACATCGGAGCGAGAGAAAGAAAAAGACCAAAGCAAGCATAGAAACGGCAAATTGGACGGAAGTCAAAAAGAAAAGGACATCAAGAAAAGTAAGAGCAGCTCCGGCAGCTGCAAGGGGAGCTCGGCTAAAGTGAAGCAAAACACCAGCTTGTCAAAAAAGAAACCAGAGGACAAAAGTCTGAGTCTAAGCCACAGCGATCTGTTTGGTGACGAGAGCCCAGAGGAGGCCGAACCCATGGAGGCGGACTACGACGAAGAGTCCGAGGAAGATCTGGTGAGGAAATCAGCGGCCGCGCTAAAGAGGGGTCGTCTAAACAAGAGGAAGGCTTCAGAACGCACACCGTCTTCCTCAGAGGACGAAGCCGACCGGCACCTGGAGCGCAGTGAGTCGACATGGGAGGAGCCTGACAGCGTCAGAGTCGACTTTTCCGTGTTTCAGGATGATCTGGATTTTGAGTCCGACCCGATGGAAGAGTGTTTGCGCATCTTCAATGAATCCAACGATGTGAAGAAGGAGGACAAGGGAAGACAAGGAAAGCAGGTACCGCTCTGTTTCTCCTTCACTTTTCATTCATATGAGAACTGATCTCAGAGCAGTGATCTTTTCTTCTACTCTTTCAGGCATCCAGAGATTCAGAGGAGGAGAGGATCACAGATGGCACTTTAACCACCGTCTACCCCGGCCAGAAGAAGAGAGTTTCCCATTTTGTTGCCAAAGGAGATGTAAGTTAGCAGCTCTGGACTGGCATGGTTTACTTTATCTAAACACTTTGTAGTATTTGTACCTCATCATTGTCTATAAGGAACCTTTTCATGTTCTTACCAGCATGAAAAACAGGTGTTTGGATTTCTATATTTTCCTGTATCACATTGTGTTTTTTTCCCCCAACCAAACCAGTTCCAATCCTGTTTCAGAACCGTTGCTGTTTTTCTCAACAATGAAATGATCCACTTTCTGTAGAAGTCTGAACCAGAGATGCTATGATAAGCTGTAAAATTTCATTCAAAGCCCATTTTCCTAAATATAAAGAGTGAAACTAACGTTAACTTAGCTCACATGAATCTACAGGCACATAAACAGAAGCAACCAAAGAAAGCAAAGGATGATGCACTCATGCGGTTGACATATTGGGCTCTAGTGGCTCTGAATCCAGAGAGATTGTACTGTTACTAGCCAGGGTGCACCGATTACAGGTTTCTGGCCGATCACCGATTCCTGATCTGCAAAAAGATCATGCAGATTCAGATTTTGATGATACAGATTTCCTTTTATAACTGACTGTCAGTTGTTATAAGATCCCAAGACACAAGATATGCCAATCTTATTTTACTGGGGGGAAAAAGTAATAATTGTCTGTGAAATACTAAAAACTTTAAAAAAAATATATAAATTAAAGTTTAAAGCTTTGACAGTGTGTGGTTATCAGACATTTACAGAACTAGATCAGATTGGTGGAAAAGGTCGATTTCAAATCTTAAGTATCTGCCAATCGTCGATCTCCCAAAATTAAGTAAATCGAGTCTGATCAGTCAGCCAATAAATCTGTGCACCCCCTTGTTACTAGCGCTGTTTAACAGGTATTTGTTGTTGCCTCCAGTGGAACATTAAACCTGGACTCGCATGAAGTGCATTAAATCATAAATTCCAACCTAATCTACCGTGTTTGTTGCTAGCATATCTTCTTGCAGTGGTGCTGCTCTCTGAAACAGGAGAGGCTCGGTGGTGTTAATTAAATCTAAACATAACATATTGCATTAACAAATGTTGAAACACATAATGCACATTACTACAAATGGTGAAAATAGCTTTTATGGAGTGCACTGAAATAATAAAATCCAGAAACCTCAGGAAGAGGTCAGCAAAAGACGACTGTTCTGATTGAAGGATCACTTTTTTCCTCTCTTCTGTCTCATGAGGAAAACGCACTCTGTCTGGTCACTGTCAATCAAATATCTTTTAGTGTGTTCGACCTATCAGCATCGAGCTGCCAGCTTCATGACCCACCCCCTGACTCGCCCCTGCTCCATAGATCCCCTACGAAGTTTAGCCTCACTGGAAGAGACATATCTTTGTGTGTTATCCAATTACAGTCCTACTTTCTCACTGTTTGCTTCAATACACAGAGGTTCAAAACTCAGCGGTGATTTCTCATAGAGACTGAGAGATTGCATCAGAGAATGGGCTCTGAGTAATGCTGAGTAATGCTGAGTAATGCACAACATACAACTAAATAATAAAATGAAATTTGGGCCACATTTAACATTTAAAAATGTATATTTGACTAATTATTTTACTAAATTGACGAGGGCAGTTTTAGCCTCCCTAGTATCAATGAGAGATCTCTGCTGTCTTCTTCTGTCATGTGACAGTTTTTTTCTTTAACGCCCTCTACCTTTTTATCGTCAAATCGTTGCCTTTTGAACGCAGCAAAGAAGTTCATAGCGCGTTGTCATACTGGTCTCAACTTGAGGAGTTTATTTAGTGTTTAAACCTACAAACAGAACAATTTAAAGTTCATTCTGCATCCATTGAACAGTGTTTATAATCCCCAACTTGCTCCTGGATCCATTCATTTTTCTGCTCTAGCATGGCTCCTTTCTCTCTGGTATTAAAGGCTCTGTTTAAGAAGGAAAAGCGGCGCCATCTAGAGGATGGTGGTAACATTGGAACATAGAAAGAAATTCTTTTAAGCGCACGATATCAATGAATCAAATTGAAAAAAATGTAATCTGTTTTTGATGAACCATTATTTTAAAATCATTTGAGGCCCAATGAATTGGGGCCACGTGGTACTAAATCTCCTCGTGTAAAGCCTTCAGTATGTGTGTGGAAAGTGTTTATGTGCTTGTAAATATTTTACAGCTGCTGTTCTGAGTATTTAAAGGGAAACAACGTTTATTTTTTACATTTGGCCCTTGATTTTACGTTATTACATCATGTTCTACTCACCCATATGAGTTTTGTGTCATTTGGAGCCGTTCTGAAGATATTCAGTTAGGTTACGGTATATCCAAGTAATGTCTTCCTATGGGCAACGACTTGAAGGCACAAACTAAACTGTTCGTAATTTATCATTTATGGTACGCCAGCATTCATAACATGTAGGCAAATCACTGTCCCCCAGACATCCGCGGTTATATTTTTTTATATTTAAAATTTTTTTTTAAAACAAAGCGGAGTGTGTATGACGTCATCCATGCACGTCGGCTACCGTTCATTCATCCTGTCCGCTAAACTGCAGCTAGTTTTACTTACATGCCCACACTCGACCCATTGTTACCTAATAGATAATTTACTAGTTTTATCACATCTCCTTCTGCAAACTTGCTGCGTGCACTTAGCTAGTGTAGCCCGGCGCGCGGATGACGTCATATACACTCCCCTTTGTTTTAAAAAAATATAAATATAAAAAATATAACCGCGGCTGTCTGGGGGACAGTGATTCGCCTACATGTTATGAATGCTGGCGTATTACTTGGATAGAACAAAACCGAATATCTTCAGAACAGCTCCAAATGACACAAAACTCATATGGGTGAGTAGAACATGATGTAATAACGTAAAATCAAGGATCTAATGTAAAAAAACGGTGTTCCCCTTTAATGCGTCTTTGCACAGAATTCTGACTTAATCAAAAACCGGCCTGTTAGCATGTTCAGTCATTTAATACACAAAATTATATTGAGACATTTAATGTTAACCTTTTCCAGTATTTTTAGGACAAACCTGACAACTAAAACTTTATTGGCCCTAAAGTATGAGAAGACTTTTCTTATTAACTCAGAACATCATTTTACTAAATACATTTCCTGTTACGTCATAGCTGGACAAGTAGGCCCAGATTTTGGCCCAAGTTCCAAACAATGATGACATAATGAAAACAAAGACCAGCTTGTTTTAGAGGAAGATCAGGAACATCTCAACTTTTGGCTAAATTTGGTCTTTACCTTCAAGAATTTTATCTGAGCAAAGAGTGAGAGAGAATTTCCCAACAAATTAAGACATGTACTTCACAACATGCTGGGACATTTTTATGTCTTAACTCATCTAGAGTTTGTGAGTGGTGACACAAGTAAACCAGGAAGTAAAGCCTGAAAACAAGATATGAAAATATACCAATAAGAATTCAGGGGTTTTCCACTGATGGGATTTCATGGAAAAGTCTGAGAGAGAAGCTGGGACTCTGATCGGGAGACAGTCTCTTTGTAATAACAAGTCTCTTCCTGATTACATATTTAAAGCTGTTTCTTTATAAAACGGCAGTATAGAAAAATTCTGCTTTTTTGTTTTAGAATGGTATAATTTCAGGAATTGTAGTTTATTTTAATCTTATCCTGAAATCAACTGAGACAAGTAAAGTCAGCAATGCATAATAAAAAAAAAAACACCTCCTCTTTAGCAGCTTTTAAGATACCTCAATGAAGTATTTTAAACATATTAGGATAAGAAGACTCCCTACTGTGAAACATGGAGGAGGCTCTGTGATGCTCTGGGGCTGCTTTACTTCATCTGGCACAAGGTGCTTGAATCTCTGCAGATACAATGACATCTCAAGACTCCTAATGGATTCTAGAGAGAAATGTGCTGCTCTGAGTCAGACAGCTTGGTCTCAGTCGCTGGTCAACAGGATGTTGACACAAAACAAACAAATAAAAACAGCTAGAATGGGTAAATACTAGTCTGTTCTTTTGTGGTTTTGTTTTTATTTATTGTTTATTCATTGTTTTGTTTTCTATAATCGTTTTGCTGTTGTAAACACCAGAATGTCCTCATTGTGGCACAATTAAAAGCATGTCAGCAAAAAGACTATATATTCACTGTGAATCATGTTGGAGGGTGGAGGAGCCATGATTTGAACATGTTCAGGAGCAAAGAATGAAAGTTTTAAATAACCAAGCCTAAAATCAGACCTCAACCTGACGGAAACGACTGTAAAGCTTCACATAAATAGCAACGAATCCCTGTGGCATAAAAGCAATGTTATACTAAGGAATGTCCGCCAAAGTTTTAGTATGAAAAACTAATAAAGCCACATAGAAAATACCTTTTTAAGGCTGATGAAGGGGTTCTACAAGCCAATGAAGAACAGGCTGTACTGGTATTAACAGTGTTGAAGACAAAAAAGAAATAGACATAGTTAAGATTGTCCTGAGACGTGTCTTTACTTTTAATAAATAAAAACATTTTTATACATATTTACCTATATTGTACTGAAAGTAATAAGTCATATCTAAGTTTACTATAAATGTTTGAGCAACAATTACCTAACCCTAACAATTGTGAATGACTGTGTTTATTAATACAGTCGGTATGTATCAAACCCTCATGGTACCGATCTTTTTACTTTTACTGTTCAGACTGATGCACCTTCAAAGACTGTGGTCCGACCTTACAAGAGACCCACACCTCAGGAGGTCTGCTTCCAGCGCATGCAGCTGGCTCAGCAGCAAGCCGCTCAGCTCTCAGCCTCAGTCAAAGCTGCTTCACAGAGCTCCGCCTCCAACCTTCCTGGAGAAAAGAAGAGAATCGCTCACCGGCCCAATCCACAGCTGGCATCCACTAAGACGAGTAGGACAGTCTCTGAATCAAAGGTTTGTGCATCTGTGTGATCAAAGCATTGCAGTCATGCATGGATGTTTGTCCCAGCAGGTCCAGCACATGGAAAACCAGCTGTGGGTGAGCCCCCTCAGGGGGTGAAGAGCCAAACCACGGCTGGCATTCTGTCCAAGACCTCATCTACGATGCTGCAGAAGAGGACGGCTCACACACCCACCATGAAGGTGCCAAACCTCTGCTTATTTGATGTTTATATATTCTAAATAATCACCTTCCAGATGTGCATGTGTTTTTTATTTATATACAGGTTTATATGAGTGTTAGAAATCTGTAAAAGGTTTGGGAACATCCTCATAACGTACCTTTAAGTTACCTGGGGGAAAAAATGGTTGTTTAAGGAACCTGAAGCAACATTTTGTAACCAGTAACCCAGTGCCTGTTCTGCCTGTTTTGTTGTTGTTTTTTTCAGAGCACCTCCATGAAGCGGCCTGTCATTCCCACTGAGTTTGGGGCAAAAGTTCCCACCAACATCCGCCAGCGCTACCTCAACACTTTTATAGACGAATGTGTGAAGTTCTGCCCGTCGGAGGAGGCTGCATTTCGGATGGTGTGTGAATCATTGAGAAAAGGTTATTTCCCCCTTTTTTTTTTCTTTTACATTAAAAAGGATCTGTTTTTTGTTTTTTTGCTTCAGGCCCTCGATGAGGAGAAGCTTGTGTATGATCGCAGTAGCAGTAAAAACATCTACCTCAACGTCGCTGTGAACACGCTGAAGAAGCTGCGGGGCAAAAGCGGCTCGTCTTCGTCGCCTGTCACCAGTAAGGATCCTCCGTTCCCATCTAAAGGATCTATCCACTATGATTCAAATCTTTTTGAGGTTCAAATAATCAGAACGCAAATAATCGTTTCCACTCTAACTCTGACCTATGTGTCAACTATACACCTGAAAATCAACCTATCAGAGGGAATAATAGAATGGGTTTATGTCCTTAAATCAACATTATTTTAGGTACCTTCTCATTTACTTTCATGGATTTTTGTCCCATATCTTAAATAAGAAAACGTCTTTAATTAGACACTGAAGACGAATTTTTCAGCAGCTCTGTTTAGGAGATTTCTCTGGCTTTCTGTCCTGTGGGTCTGGACCCTTCATGTTGATGGTTCTCTGTTGGTTTGATGCATTCTTGCACTTGCTGTGATGTTGAGAACATAAACCTTCTTTATCTTCAGATTTTCATCTTGACAGAAATCCCCGTCTAATACACCTTTCCTACTTGCCCAAAAACCTGTTTAAACCCGGTGAACAGTCGGCATTTAGTGGCAGTGGGAACAGCTCACTCACGCGTTTCTGCCCGAGTCAATCACCTCGGCTCTGATCGGCATGCAGTTGTAACACCAGACCCTTGTTGACCCGCTAATTTATGTGATACCATTGAACACAATGTATGAACATCAACACCCGGCACCAGTCGCTTCTGATCTAACAAGCCGAAACAACCCGGTTTATGTTCAATAAACATGAAGCAGCACTGGTAAGAGGGATTCCGACGGGTAAAAGAGCGAAATAATAAAAAAAATAATACTGACTACCCTCTGGCTCCCATCCATGATGCTCTCCATTATTTACTCTCCTGATTTCCGTTGCACTGTCGACATAATCGGCGCTCGCTCACCCAGCGTGATGCTGTCATTGAACACACAGTGGTGGGGGGCCAGTGGCCAGGCAGCTTGCCATCACGGGATCGGACTCAGCTTTTCGGTCAAATATGTAAAGAACCAAAAGCCGATTGTTAGCGGGTTACCCTGGTTTTAGAAAAACCCGGGTTTTCAGCGGCTTAATTGAAGCATAGGGCTACCATCAAGATGTTTAGCAGTAGATACAGATTTCCTTTAATAATGCTCAGTATAATTTGTGTAAAGCCTACCTAATCAAATATATGGATTCTTTTGATTATAATTATATTTTTTTAAAGATTTGTGGAAGTTTTAGCCAGACCTAGATTGTTTCTTTAGCATAAAATAATTTATCATTGCATTTTTTAAGTGTCTTTGGCGTCTGGTTTGCTTGTAAAGACTGTGGTGGACGTTCATCAAAGGGCATCCTGGGGCACATTTCGTTCATCTGCAGCTGCACATCTTAAAGCATTTTGAGCATCAGGTGCTATATAACAATTTAAAGTACGATTAAACTCTATTTACCAAAGAGGAATTTCAAATCACTCTAAGCACACAATTTCTATGCGAAAATTATTGCGACAGCATCATGGAGATTTTTCAGTTGGAGGAAGGAAGCAGGTCAGCGGTTGGGAGAAGATGGAGCTAAATACGTTCTGTAAAAAAAAAAAACCTGCTAGAAACTTCCAAAAACTTGACCTGTCAACTCCTGTTCCAGCAGGACACCCACTCTAAACCAGAGTTAAACCACCCTAA